GTGACGATTTCTTCGTGGCTCAGATCTTCCATCGAGGTAACGGAGACGTTATTACACGACTTACGTATGCTGCATTCACGCTCTTGTGGCGTACCACTACTAGTATTCTGATCTGCATCATGTTTTTTTTTGCTGTACTTCGAACATGTTCAAACACGTCACGCCAGTGAGAGTAGAGTCCTGATCTCACTTCTGATGTCGGCTCACGTCAGGGATGGCTGAGCGGTAGGTTCCGTCATCGCTTGTATTCGATTGAACTCAGTTTAGTCAATAAAACTTTTCAGTAATAATTATTGAAACTCAACACACACACAACTTTCACAATGACAGGGTAAACTGACAGTTTCGTTGCATATACCGACAGACCGACTGTCTGACTGACTGACTGACAGAGACTCACTGACTGAGACGGACGGAATTACTGTCTGACACGGAATGCCACGACTCTGTCCACGTACCGCCATTTTATACTGTGGCGTTACGGAGTCTACCCTTCATTTTGTGACATTTATCAAAACAACATTTCATCATTTAAAATAATAATCAAAACCACCGTCTTAATATTACTAAAAGTCGTTATCCACGACAACTAAAAGTCGTTATCCACGACATATATGTAAATAATCTGAATCTCGGAAACAGCTCCAACGATTTTCATAAAATTTAGTATACAGGGGATTTCGGGGGCGATAAATCGATCTAGCTACGATTTATTTTCAGAAAATGTTGTTTTATTCGTGTTTTCAATAATCAACTCTTCCCGACAACTATTGGCGAATAATAATACAATTTTTCTTAACTTTAAAGACACAACAATATGGCGTTATAAAAAAAAAACCGGTCATCATCTAGTTTTTGTTATAAAACACCACAATGTGCTCGTATTATTATTCATTCTTATTTATATGTTTATTGGAACGCATGTGACAGCGCATTAAAGCAGCAAACCAACTTGAAACCTCTTCAAGTGATCCAATCCCGTTTTTGCAGAACAGCCGTCGGAGCACCACAGTTCCTAAGAAACGTGGATTTCCATGATGACTTGGAGCTTGACTCTGTCTACAGTCATTGCACTACTTCGAAAAGGCGGCACGACATGAAAACCCTCTTGTCGTGGCCGTCGGGAATTATATACCCGATCCTGTAGACCGGACGGTAAACAGTCGACGTCGCCCTAAACACGTCATTACGGATCCTCCCGATCCATTAATGATAATGATGATCCATTTCGCCTCGTTGTTCCCAAAAGGTGGGGATGGTGGACGATCGTGCTCTTCCACTCGACGATGATGTTGGAAGGTCTGTTGTTTGTAGACGATTTCCATTTATTATGATTTTTTTATAAAATTCGTAGTTAAGGTGTTCAGAAAGTGTAAGAAAAGGTTTAGGTGTTGATCACACAATTGCATAAAATTATTTAAATTAGGTAATGTGAGAAGAAAAATCTTGACAAACTTGAGATAGTTAATATGCATTGTCTTATTCGTTGACATGTTGGAGAACCGTGAAAAAGCTGTAGGATGCTTTCAGTATCTGAAATGTCAAATAAATGTTACATTAAAATTTTGTTTTCAATATAAAATTACGTAAAAATTGCTATTGTGAAGATGAGCTAAGAGAAACAGCGGTAGCACAAAAATGTCATCTGACTATTTATAAATTTACATGATTACAAAAGAAGGAATCAGTTTTTAAGGTCCTTGCCCGTTAGAAAACAGTCTAGCTTGTCTAGCTAGTATTCCTGAATAACCTACATGTATTGTAAGATAATAAAAATATTTTGAACAATATTAACTGCTCATTTATTTAATAAAAGAAAAAAAAAGTATTTTCTTATCGGTGACCACGCTCAAAAAGTGTAACTTGAATTAATATTAAAGAAAAACAAAGGAAAACAAATACTGCATAAATAAAATAAATAAATAATTATAATTACATAAGTTGATAAAAAATGCTATGCAATAGCTTTACCGCGGCAGTCTCCGAGTGCCACACGTTTTTTTTTTTTTATATTAGTATATTAGTTAAAAGTAATTTCGTTAAAATAAATTAGATTTGAGTTAAGTAAATTCACTAAATTATCTATTTTGAATATTAAGCTACGTTTCACGCTACGTATTGTTTTTTTTTTTTATTGCCCTTATAGGCAGACGAGCATACGGCCCACCTGATGGTGAGTGGTTACCGTCGCCCATGGACTTCAGCAATGCCAGGGGCAGAGCCAAGCCGCTGCCTACCGCATTATGTTTTGCAGTAATTCTATTCGTTTGTATATAAGAGATTATATTATATAGTTGCTATAATCAGCACAACAAATAAAATAGCTAACTGTGTAAAAATGTGTAACTGTGTAACTGGCTATACGTCACACCATACAAAACTTAATTAAGAGTAAATATATATTAGAATGAGGGTACATGTTATTTTTTGCGTGATTGGGGACTTGATTTTGGAATTTTCGGACATACTTTCATTTTGTTCTATGCGTTATCTATGTACTTATTTNGGAATTTTCGGACATACTTTCATTTTGTTCTATGCGTTATCTATGTACTTATTTAATACAAGCGGACCGCTCCGGCTCCGCTCGAGTCCTTAGCAAAAATTTCAACAATATTTGGCGTTGTTTTATTTTTTAAATAAAATAACACTTATTGCGGCATAACTATAATAGTTAGACATAATATGCTGTCGCGACACTTTTTATAAATATTAATGTGTTCTACAAAGTCGTAGTGCATATTATATTCTATCATCAACAATTTTCGCAGAGCACGCGATGTAAAGAATATTTTCGTTAATTTTTTTACACCTTAGGTTACATTATTGGAGTTTTAGTAAGGATCCCTAACTTTTTTCAAAAAAGATGTCACTATGCCTATGTCACTCGGAAATAGTGTAGCTTCCAAACAGTGAAAGAATTTTTCAAATCGGTTCAGTAGCTTCGGAGCCTATTCAATACAAACAAACAAACAAATCTTTCTTCTTTATAATATTAGTATAGAAGTATAGATTATAAAGCTGAAGAGTTTGTTTGTTTGAACGCGCTAATCTCAGGAACTACTGGTCCGATTTGAAAAGTCTTTCAGTGTTAGATAGCCCATTTATCGAGGAAGGCTATAGGCTATATAACATCACGCTAAGACCAATGCAAGCTGAGCACCAATAAATAATATTTCAAAATCGAGGCTTTAACGCCTTTTGAGAGCTTCCACTGCGTGCGCTGCGGAAACGGTTAAAGTTTCGCTAAAGTAATGTATGAGAGTCTTCTCTATATATTTTTTTTTTTTTTTTTTTTTATGATTGAAATTTACTGGTGGCCCGAAGGCCTTTCCAGTTTCACCAGGACAGGTGGGCGAGCAAAGGCTCAGCCAAGAGGGGTGGGATTTGCTAACAACTGCCCGAGCGCCTCCGAAGGAGACCTAACAACTCAAGAGCAATTGTTTCGCGAATGAATCTACTACCGGATCGGAATCGCGACCCGCTGAGAAGATNTTCTCTATATCTGTATCTGTCTAATGTATGAGAATCTCTTTTGAAGTCTGTTAAAAAGCATGATTTTGGTACCTTAAATAACTCTTTAAGGTCCTTAAAAAAGCTTTTATCAGATGGGCCACAGGGGCCCAAAGTTTCTACCCCAAACGGAACAAAACTGAAATCTTTAGAGAGATTTTCATATTTCCGCCGTTTGAGGCCTTCAGCCGTTGAAGCAGCGCTGCCAGCGTTAGAATTAGTCCCAGGAAGATGTGTCGGTGCCATGGTATCTACACAAGTCGCATCCCAAACGAGCGACCGACCCATCTTCCAGGGAATAATCGACATACCGTCTGGTCTCTTACCATCGCCTCGCACCAAACCATTCGGTTCTAGAATGGCTGGCACGCCGGCGCTGACAAGGGCCCGACGGATGATGTCATTTATTCTGGCGTGGCGGGATATTCTGCCAGCGTTTTTCACGCATGAGAGCCCGTGGTAACCAAAGCGGTCGACAATGTTGCCACACTGGCAGTGATGCTGAACATAGCAAGGTGCCCCCAGGCGAAGACAGGTTGCTAAATGAAAGCTATTGTCGGACATTAGAGTGCCGGTGTGAAGTGATGGATGGGCCTGCAACCATAGCCCCGATTCCCATTCTGCAACTGCAAGGAGGCGAGCACGCTCTGTTGAATCTCTACATGAGTCAAGTAGATTTTTACGTATTCATTCACAGTGCGGCTCATCCCACAATCGCTGAGAAGTCGGGACCGTGGGCAGATCAGTATTAGGGCAGGCTAGTAACCACTCATTTCTTGCTTCAGTCATATAAGTGATTTTTGGATCCAATAAAGGCGAAGACAAAATTTTAGAAATGAGTTCGTAAGTACTGTGGACTGAACCAAGAAATGCTGGTAATGCTACACATGAAATTTTGCGGATGCCTAGGCCCCCAAGCTTTATCGGGAGAGAAGCTAGGGCCATATTCGGTCGTCCATGTCTACGTTCAAAACATCGCCTTCAATGGTGCCATCATCGAGATACCACCTGTTTAATTTTGATTTCAAATTGGTTATAATTGGGTGGATTGCTAAACTAAAGATGGCCAGCCCTAAAGGATCACCTTGCTGACAGCCTACTTGAGAGAATATTAGGTTATTCTTGTATACTAATTTTGAATATTGACTGTAGCATTGCCAAAGATATGGATAACAATCAGAAATTTTGTTTTTTATTTGCATTTTAGCAAGGTAGCCCTTGTACCTTAAAAAAAACTATTTGAGGCCTCAGGAGACCAGAAGGCCGGTACGTATTTTGCACAAAGAATTAGAATTGCTATCCAGCGTGGAAATGCTGCCAGCCTTCTGGGAACGCTGCCAACTGGCGGTGAGCTAACGCAGGAAGTAGCTTTACCTAAATAATAATTATTTTTATTCATTTATTAGATATAATTAGATTATTACTCTTTAATAATCTATTATTAAAAAAATATTTTCACTGTCTACGTAAATGAAGAGGCAGGTATTTTAGCGTTATGCCAAAGTAACTATTCCACGCGGACGAAGTCGCGGGCAAAAGCTAGTCAAAGATAAAACTTACTCCCATAAATTCTCTGATGGACAAATCAATGAAACCCCCCGCCGTGAGAATGACGGGGCTCTGTGCTCGCATCATGATTATTAAAAGGGTCCTTTTCAAAGGTTGAGTGAGGGTGTACCATGGACATTCATATGCAGCATCCGCAATTTCTTCACTCTATTTACGAGAATTTTACGTTATTGTTTGTTTGAAATGAAATTTACCTAAACAAAGATAATTAACCAATCACGTACCGCATTACGAAGAAATTCTCCTTGAAAGCAGAATAAGAAAACTTCAAGTGACGCTCCAAGGATATACCCAACCATTGATGTTTTTTGTATATTACCAATTGCTTTGTTCTGGAACAAACAGCTTTTTTTTTAATGCCCTTTTAGGCAGACGAGCCTATAGCCTGAGCGGTTACCGTCGCCTTCATTAGACTTCAGCAATGCCAAGCAGACAACCAAGACAGCCAAGCCGCTGCCTAATGTTACGTACTCTTCACAAGCCTCGTTTGAAATAAACCTCTTTTCCCGACTCCAGCCCCTGTATGAGGCGACCTTCCCCCGTGAAGGCCATGGGGCGACCCGAGGAACAGGCGTGCTGCCTGCGCTGCACGTCAGCAGTTCCACGGAACTGTTGTGTAAGAGCAACCGGTTGGCGGTGTACCGCGTTCCAACCTGGCAGGCTGGTTCTGGTCCACCGGAGTATTGTGGAATACCGAAAATGTGGAAGCCCGGGGCGGCCTGTCAGGCTGCCGTATCGAGACGGCCGATGTAGAGTCGTTGACTATCGACGGGCGTCCTAGGCGTGGCACCGCGAGTCTGGTTGCAGTGTTCACCGCGGAAAACCCCCTACTCTGTCTGGATTCTGGCCCCGGACGGGATCGGACGTCGGGTGAGAGAGCAAGGGGAGTCGTTTGGTGGATAGGGCCCTAAAACATTCTTGAACCCGCGGTCTGTTCTCAACATCTGCAGACCGTCGAGACCCACATACCCAGCGCGCCCCCTAGGCGCAGAGACCTCGCAGGAGGTTCAGTACCCGGCCCGAAAAAAAAAAAAAAAGTAAAAATAAAACATCCACCCTGCCTATTTCTGTCGTGAAGTATAATGCGTTTCGGTTTGAAGGGTGGTCCGACCGTTGTACTGTTAAAACGGAGACCTTAGAATGCATATCTCACGGTAGGTGGCGGCTTTTACGTTGTAGATGTCTATGGGCTCCACTTAACATCCGGTAGACCTAAGCAATAAAACAACAAAAAAAACACGACGATCTGGACTTTGAATCGATCAAGAAACAGCTGAAGTCAGCGTCGGAACGTTACCTCGATAAGACAATGCGTCATGATAATCGCCTCATCGTTGCCGCCACTGACTACTCACCGACTCCGGCTCATGGAGGAGCCATCACCGTCAGAAACGCCCTAGATATGTCCTTACGGTTCCTTCTGATCCACTAACGTGCAACCCAACCTAAACATCAGCCCGCTGAGTTTCTCGCCGGATCTCCTCAGCGGATCGCGATTCCGATCCGGTAGTAGATGCAATCGCAAAACAGCTGCCCTTGAGTTGTTGAGTCTCCTTCGAAGGCGCTCGGGCAATTGTTAGCAAATCCCACCCCTCCTGGCTGAGCCTGTGCTTGACCACTGTCCTGGTGAAACTGGAAGGCCTCCGGGCCACAAGTAATATTTCCTTCCCAAAAGAAAAATACTCTTACCACAGCCAATTGATATGCCGTAGTGCAGATGATAATAATGGATACAGTGAGTTGCACCAAAAGAAATCCGGATATACAATTCTTAATATCCTTCGCTGCGTTCAGAGCACACTTATGTTGCGAAATAGCACAGTGAAGCCTTTCTTTAACGATTTTTTCTTCTTCTGGTGTTATAAGATTCTACAAGAAAATTGATGATCATGAAAATGTCGACCTATTAATATTTAACCTATTAAAGAAATCATTGATGATTACCTTTTTGTTCACCGGTATATTGATGCAGATATTTCGTATCGACAAAGCCACTAGCTTTAGTCTACAACGGCAGCCTGCGACCACCGATGCGAAGAAGATATTAATATTGAACACAGTATATCCCGTGAATACCATCATCATGCACTGAGCAAAGAAAGTCTAATAAGTTAAATATATATTTGTACCTTTGTTTGCTTCGTATAATTTGGATAATTTTGGCTAATTTGAGTCTTTAGATAACATGAGTTGCATCGTATTTAAAGCTCCTGACAGCTACGTCGAGGATCGTGGGTTCCGTGTAGAGAGCCCTCCTTTGACCATGCTTTCCTGTTATGAACAGGTCTGTAGGTTGTATCACAGCCTTTAACACCAATGCAAGAAGACTTGCTTATGTTAAGCATCTATATTAGTTTCTGGTTCCCATGGTACCGCGAATCCTAGCTAGAGGTCAGATGAGCCTCTGTTTGTTATTGGCACTTCTGCGAACTCTCGAGTTCAAAGGGCACAGTTGAAATCCGCCGTAATAAAATACACAAAATTTGTCATAGGTATAATTATTAATAAGACCAGTGGTCCCGCAGAAGTCGAAGTTCGACTCCAATTAAATGAAATTATCAGTTTGAACATTATTTTTGTTCTATTGTCAAACTACTACTACTATTACTTCTATAATCTACGACTACTACTACTTTTATAATCACAGATTTCGCCAAGACTCCATTATAGACAAACAATATTAATTTATTTTCAATTTGACTACAGACTAAGAGACCACAGAATAAACAAAAGAGTATATTATATATGTGTGTGTGTGTCAAATACATGGTAGTGGGCGTAATATCTTTTTTATTGATTTTTTGTATTTTTTATGCATAATTAAAAAATATATTAGTATTCTGCACTCCTTCTCTATATTCTCTATAAATGTGGGAAATTTCATACTCTTCCGTCCGCGCAATTTTCGTAAAAAGGGGTACAAAGTTTTTGCTTCACGTATTAATATATTAATACGATATAATACTATAATGTTCATAATTTGTAATAAAACAAATTTTGGTGGACGGTACGTTATCGAACTTAATGTAGATAGATCCTGCTGTTGGATCGATACTTCGAATTTTATCGTCTCTGACGTCCCTGTCTCGATAGTGTCACCATTGACAGTTGACAGTATGACTTTGATGCTTGAACGCGACCGTGGCTTCAATAAGACCATAACTTCGGTTTTACAAGAAGTCATTCCTTACGTGACATCTAGGTGAATATTGTGCCTTTAGGCACACCTATGTTATTCGACGTGACATGTTTCTCGTGTGCGCTTTTGTGTAGATCTGACGATCGACACTGTAGGGTAGTATTCTTATACGTAACCGCGACCGACTAATCTACTACAGCCGAAACACAAATGACACTTACACCAGAAGCTCTACAGGAATCAGCAAGAATTGTTTTGCAGGACACAATACCTGCAAACCACCCTTGCTGGTTGAAACTGGCAGTGAATGAAGTGGGTGGATGAAGTAAACAAACAACTACTTCGCTGCTATTACATTGTTCCAAATAGCGAAACTAATCTTACAACTCTACACGAAATTCATTGAAATATATCCAGACCTTGTTTGACTTCAATATCTACAAATCCAACTAACTCACCTCCCATAAATCAGGCAAACATAATACACACTACTCAGCATGGTTCACATGATACAAATAACAAAAGTACATTTAACTCAACAGAAGACATAGTACACACACCATAGACAGACTCACAAATAACAGACCTTTTGCTTACAGCCTCATACACACTATCACACACACCATCTGCACATAAACAAGCATCAGATACCAAAATAGACCAACCTAATACTACAGAGAGAATACATCAATAATAATATATCATATATACCTGATAAATCTTTGGTTTTGCAATAAGCACCCCTTATCTAGTGCAACAAAATGTTTATAAATAAGTACTGCTTACCTGATGTATAAGTGCAAACTCATAGCCCGGTGATTTCATTTCATTAAACGGGTATCTTAAATAGAAGGAAAAATACGTCATAATGTTGCTTTATGATATGATGATTGATATTATATATTACACGGTAATTATTATTATTGATTTCGGTATTAGCAAACGACAGCTTTACCAAAGCCATGGCCAAGCCAAGCCAAGCCTTTACATAACCATTTTACTAGTGGTAGGACCTCTTGTGAGTCCGCACGGGTAGGTACCACTGCCTTGCCTATTTCTGCCGTGAAGCAGTAATGCGTTTCGGTTTGAAGGGTGGGGCAGCCGTTGTAACTATACTGAGACCTTAGAACTTATATCTCAAGGTGGGTGGCGCATTTGCGCATAACGTAATTATTAACGTGATGATAGCGATTATTAAAGTAAGTACGTTGTAGATATCTATGGGCTCCAGTACCCACTTAACATCAGGTGGGCTGTGAGCTCGTCCACCCATCTAACCAATAAAAAAAAAAAAAAAAGCCATTCTTTTTCCTCAATTATTCACTGGTAGTCTAAGGGACTATTCCAGCTACGAGGAGGGTTAGATGAACTCACGAACTCAACCTCAGAGAATTTGCTGCCCTAGCAAGAGCAGTGCTTCTCAGAATCTACCGCCGGATCGGAGAAACGACCCATTGAGAAGATCCGGCAAGAAACTGGGTTGTCGACGCCTATATCTATCTATCTATATATTATATAAAAATGAATTGCTGTTCGTTAGTCTCGCTAAAACTCGAGAACGGCGCCGCGGCGGGACCGATTTGGCTAATTTTGTTCTTGAATTATTTGTGGAAGTCCAGAGTATGTTTAAAAGGTAGATAAATATGAAAAAGCCCGGAATCAAATAAAAATAACAATTTTGTTTCCGTTTGATGTGTCCCCCGTCGGACAGATTCCTCTTGTTTGTTTTAAGTTTATTTTATACAAAAGTTTAGGTCTTTTATTTATCGATTGAGGCAATACGAAGTCTGCCGGGTCAGCTAGTTATAATATAAATACGAAAGGGGATTTTTTAATTGCTGCTCTATTTAAAATTCAACCAAACTAAATCTCCCAACTAATAATCCACTGCATATCACATAAATGACTGCGTTACAATTTTACTACTTGATTACCTAAACATATTTTATTTAAACACGTATAAAATTAACCAAAATCAGATGACCTTTTTATCTTTTTTTTTTTTTTATTGCTTAGATGGGTGGACGAGCTCACAGCCCACCTGGTGATAAGTGGTTACTGGAGCCCATAGACATCTAGAACGTAAATGCGCCACCCACCTTGAGATATAAGTTCTAAGGTCTCAAGTATAGTTACAACGGCTGCCCCACCCTTCAAACCGAAACGCATTACTGCTGCACGGCAGAAATAGGCAGGGTGGTGGTACCCACCCGCGCGGACTCACAAGAGGTCCTACCACCAGTAATTACGCAAATTATAATTTTGCGGGTTTGATTTTTATTACATGATGTTATTCCTTCACCGTGGAAGTCAATCGTGAACATTTGTTGAGTACGTATTTCATTAGAAAAATTGGTACCCGCCTGCGAGATTTGAACACCGGTGCATCGCTTCAACACGAATGCACCGGACGTCTTATCCTTTTAGGCCACGACGACAGAAAATCTAATTTACAACGAAAATCTAGCTAAAACTACTAATTAATATACAGATTTTAAGACAAAATTACTCACTGTATAACAAAAATACTGATTTGCACACTAAATTAACCATCTTACAACGGAATTTCTAAAATCACCCTTACCAGAAATTTCGATCGAACTGAACTTTTGGAAATTTCTCCCATTTACAAAATAGGCAGTGACAGGTTGCAACCCCACTTTAATCATGACAACTCAGTTGAGAGAAGTTCAAATTTATGCCTAGAGAATTCTCCTAATTTTTTCTGTAGGTTGGCAGTGTTGTCAATTTGACGGATAGTGATATGTGCGTTCTATTATTCATCGATGTGTGTTTTATTGTGAATTCGAGTTAAGATTTTTTTTCGAGAACGGTTCAAAAATTAATGCTGTATCAGAAGTAAGTAAGCTCGTACAAGCCGCGCGGTGCGCTACCAGTAGTCTAGCGTGCCGCCAAGGAGCCGCGTCCCGACCCGGCAGGCTGGTTCTAGTCCAGCGGGGTATTTCGGGACATCAGCGGCACCGTCTGGGCGGCCTGCCGGGTTGCCGTACCGAGACGGCCGACGTTTCGGAGCCTTCGATTCACCTCGAAGACTCCGTCGGCGTCCTTGGGGTTAGCTGCGCCGTCTGGTTGTAGTGTTGACCGCGGTTCTGACCTCGGAGGGGATCAGACACTTGGGCGAAGAGTGCAGGGGAGCCGGTTAGTGGGTAGGGCCCTGAAAACATCCTTGGGGCCGCGGTCTCGCAGTCGCGGACCAGTCCCACATACACCGCGCGCCCCCTAGGCGCGGCGACTTCGTAGGCTCGGCACCCAGCCCGAAAAAAAAAGCTCGACCTTTGTATAATAAACCCTTGAATCTTCTCTATTTCGTTTTATTAGCCAAACCTACACCAAGTTTTTATTACCTGCCCTACAGTCCACAAAAAAGGCTTAAGTATCTTAGCATTTTTAAAGTATTTGTATTTTTCATATTTTTATTTGATAAAACCTAATCAGCTTACATAGCAGTGGGGCTGCATTTTTTAATTTGCCCCAGGGCCCTTGGTTAACTAGTTACCCCACTGGGTAGGACGATCTTTATGCAACAGAACTACGACCTCTACCTCAACTTGTATTATATGTGGACTCATAAAGGCTTTGAGCTATCAGCAATAATAAAAAATTTACTCACACAAACAGTTTTGTACTTATAAAAAATAAATATTACTCACTTAGCTCGAATGGTTGTCACACCTTGGAAAAGGTGTCCGGCAAGGTTGCATACTGTCGCCTATACTTTTTAATGCATATGGAGAGTACATCATGCGGCAGACTTGTGAAGATTGGTCGGGCGGTGTGCGCATTGGTGGAGCTCATATTACAAATCTCCGATATGCCGATGACACGACCCTGCTAGCTGCAGACGAATCTGAAATGTCTCTTTTCTTCAGCAAAATGGAACGTATCAGCAACAGCCTAGGCCTCTCCATAAATAGATCAAAAACGAAATTAATGGTGGTGGATCGTGCAAATGTTCTAAGATTGAGTGGGGCGCTTGGATTAGAGGTTGTAGACGAATTCGTGTATCTCGGGTCCTGCATCAGCAACAAAGGCTCATGTGAAACTGACGTGCGCCGACGTATCGGAATGGCTAAAAGTGCGATGTCTCAGCTACAGAAGATCTGGAAGAATAGAGGGATAGGCCTGAAAACTAAAACCAGACTGGTGCGGACTCTTGTTTTCTCTATCTTCTTGTATGGAGCTGAGACATGGACGTTGAAAGCAGCAGACCGAATGCGCATCGATGCTTTCGAAATGTGGTGTTGGAGACGCATGCTAAGAATTCCGTGGACAGCCTTCCGGACTAACGTGTCGATATTGAAGCAACTGGGCATCAAAATCAGACTGTCTACTGTATGTCTGAAGCGGATCCTCGAATATTTTGGTCACATTGCGAGGAAAGACGGCGATAACCTGGAAAAACTTATGATCACAGGGAAAGTTGAAGGCAACAGATCTAGAGGCCGCAGCCATACTCGTTGGTCCGATCAGATCCGCACCGCTTTGGACAGTACAGTGTACAGCGCGCTGCATGACGCCGTGGACAGGGTAAAGTGGAAAAAGATCCTAAGATTGAAGCTCATGGGTGATGGTGGTCACGACCCTCAGACATGAGGAACACGACTCGAGGAGGAGGAGGAGCTCGAATGAAAAATGTGCTGCTATGCTCACCCATGAACCAGAAAACAGTCGACAAAGCAACAAATGCACTGTTGAACTGTAAAAACCGGGTCGTCTCTTTATCGATACTGGAAAAAAAATATGCTTTTAATCAACAGTAAAGTGAACATCGCTTAATAATGGAATATACTTAATTGTTAAATAGATTTAACGCCATGTTTCGATGCTTTTAATCAACAGTAAAGTGAACATCGCTTAATAATGGAATATACTTAATTGTTAAATAGCTTTAACGCCATGTTTCGATGCTTTTAATCAACAGTAAAGTGAACATCGCTTAATAATGGAATATACTTAATAGCTTTAACGCCATAATTCGATGGCGATTTTTGATTTTATGCGACATGTCGCTAGAAAGGCAACAGACTCCACAATCATAGTGAGTCAGTGTTTTAGTTGTCATGTTCAGGTTCTTTACGTTAAGTGGCTGATTGCTTTTTAAAGCACCCAAAGAATAAAGACAATGAAAATGGGTTCGTGAATACGTAGCATAGAAGCATAGTCATGAACCCTGACCCCGAAATAGACATCCGACATCTTCCTTGGTAGCCTATGCTCCCATCCATTATACAATGGATAAATTTCAAATTAGGGTTATTTACGGAGACTTGCAACCCCACGGCCCTTCCAAGCAGACCATCACTCAATGAGGAATATTGGTAAGCCACAGGAAGGCTTAAACTATTCATAACCCCGCTCATAAATAGCATGAAGAGGCCAAGCTGTCACGCTAAAATGTAGAATTTCATGTTATGGCACATTTGAAGTAGGAGACTATAATAAAATGAAGCAGGAGACTATAATAAAATTTTAAAAACCTATTCTTCAAAGTCTTTGCACAATTCTTTCCGTTTTCTAGTCGAATTGTGTGAATCAGCTTCTGAGCGGTAGGAAAATCTCAAAACACCCTTTTACACTCACAGAACATCGATAATGATCAGACAATATTATAAAATAAGATCGTAAAAATAGATTGCTCTTTTCATTGTAATTAGAGTATAAGCATACCTTGCGATAATCCTTTGGCCTTCCAATCTGTTTTCAAAATAGAATATTTCTTCAGTTCCATTGATGATCTCCATTATTCTATCGTATCTCAATAACAAGGTTAAAAGCTTAGAAATCACTGCGAATTCCATAAAGAGAAGCAAAGCTGTTTCCGCCATGAGATTAATGTCACCCCAGATGTCAATAATGTCCGCGATTTGTACGCAAGCTGCAGCAACTGGTTAGAAAATAATATGTTTACTTGTGCTACTCACGGAAATGATCTTATAAAAATTGCAATCTTACAACTGAGATAGAGATCGCAAGCCATAGACATCGTAACGTCACACATCATAACGACATTACATAGGTCATCGAGCAAATTGTAGCGGGGGACTTCCTTCACCAATTCAAATAGCACGTCGATGTTAGGAAACTCCTTAGAGGCAAGAACCCCTCGATCCGGGCATACGTTACGTATCCTACCAAGGAAAATCGTATTCGCGCATTCGAATACGATTTTCCTTGGTAAGATACCTAACGCCCTACAACGCGACGTGAAATCTAGCATCGACGAATTCCGAGACACCAGGTGGTCTAATTTCTTAGAAGGACTCGTCCCCTCCCGACAATCTCACTATCATTTAGCTCGGACGCTCAAACCAAATAAGGTAGTAACTATGCCCCCCTCGTAGGCCCCTCTGGCCGACTTGCAGCGCTCGATGACTACGAAAAAGCAGAGCTGCTGGCCGATACATTGCAAACCCATTGCATGCCCAGCACTCAATCCGCGGACCTTGTTCATATACGAGTAGAATTAATAGACAGTGAGGATGAACGCAGAGCCTGCGTACCACCCTCAGACGCGTTACCACACCCGCGGTGTGGAAAGAAGCGGACGTTATCGGTATACATAAACCCAATAAACCGAAATATCATCCGACTAGCTACCGTCCGATCAGCCTCCTCATTTATACAAACTGTACTTCGCTGACTCCGTCCACTCCCCTCCTGTTTAGTTTATTTATCAACGACATTCACCGCCAACCTGATACGATCGTTTATTATTTGAATGGAAACAAGTCCCTAATAGAGAGTAAGCTCCGGAGCGCACTCTTGACCCTCGGACAGTGGTTCCGGAAGCGGCGCATCGATATTAACCCAGCGAAAATTACAACGATGCTCTTTCAAAAAAAGGGAACCCGTATCTCCTCCCGCATTAGGCGCAGGAATCTCACACCCCCCATTACCCTCTTCGGCCAATCCATACCTTGGGACACGAGGTTCAAGTACCTGGGAGTTATCCTGGATGCATTCGTTACATGCCACCCACACACAAAGTCTGTCCGCGACCGTGCCGCGTTTATCCTCGGTAGGCTTTATCTCACCGCACCCACATAGACACCAATCATGTTTTTGCAAGTTAGCCGTCGGACCACCGTGGTTCGTGAAGAATGACGACCTACACAACTATCTGGGTCTTCCGAATCGATCCGGAAACAACTGAAGCTAGCGTCGGAACGGTACCTACTTCGATAAGGCCTCATCGTTGCCGCCGCGGATCCCATCCTCAATTCCTGTCCACGCAGGAGCCAGTCATCGTCGACGCCCTGGACACATCCTTACGGATCCATCAGATCCATTAACAATATTGTTAGACGCCTATAACTCTAACATTAGGAACTCGCCCACCTGTCCTGGTAAAACTGGTTTTCTTATATCTGAGTTCATCACTATTGTACATAAACTTACGAGTATGGTTGGAATATTAAAATGCATCATTTTAGAATTTCATTGTAAGATGTTACGCACCAAATAGATATAGGAAAACCAGCCATGCATACACTCTGACGATGATCCTTTNACCAAATAGATATAGGAAAACCAGCCATGCATACACTCTGACGATGATCCTTTGAGTCTTCGTGTATTGATCTCGCATTATTAATCCAGCCCATGATAAAGTGTTCAAAGTTATTGTTAAACCAAACATTTTGTTTTTTATAAAGAACGCCATGGCCACATCGAAAAATGACTGAAAATAAAAATAAAATCCGTTAGTGATTTAGAGGGTACATCAGGTGACAAGAGAGTATTTTGGCTAATCATGGCCATCTTAGGTAGATGATCTCTCGGTCCACCTATATAATACATGAGATTAGCAAATGGGTCGGGTTTCTGATCTCTGACTTTATAAGGTTTTAGGAACAAACAGTTTTTCCGCGTATGCCAAAGTAAATATATTTTAAATTTATTTGTTATTTATAAACTAGTTGTCAATTTTTACTGGATCCGAATAAAAACAATCGGAATGTATGCGTAATGATACATATACTATTATATGATTTTATTATACAATGATATTTCCTCGCATCATTAAGAATAATTTAGAAGTAATATTACCAAAACTAGCTTGTAGGTGTGTCTACAGCCTGGACTTGAAACGCAAACTGAGAGCTGGTTCAAGCCCAGAATTCCTCCTATGCAACTGGCAATTACGCGTTAAGGGTTACAGGGGCGGAAACATTGTATGGGAAACTAGCCTATGGTCATGAAAATCCAGATACGGATTGAGAGATATAAACTCTTTGTTAAATTATCTCATACTGAATGTCACGTTTCTTTGTCATTCAATTATTATCTACGACAAATGATAATGGTGTTAGCATTAATGTATCTGTATCAATTGGTCAGATAATTTTTGAAGTTTGTTATTGGACACATGCCAACTTTCTCAACTTAGAAAGTAGGTAAGCTTAGAATTACTAGCAGACTTACGTGGTAATCTCTCATATGATGGTTTCATTCGTTGTTTGATGAGAGGAGCGGCTTCCTCTCTTATGTCGTATTGTGATCCTCCTCCTTGCGTCGATAATTCTCAGTGCTGAGGGTCGTGGCCTCCTCTAATAACTTTCTCCTGCATTATCTCGCGCCATTCCTGCCTGCCCTCGGCTGTGTGGGTAGCGACGTGGACTGAGGTATTGAGAGTGGAGCGTATTTGGTCCGACCAGCGCATTGGGTTTCTGCCTCTGTGCCTTCTCCAGCATACCTTGCCTGTTACCAGCAGCTTTTCCAGATTGTCACCTCTCTTTCTGGCGATATGTCCAAAGAACTCGAAACTCCTCCGCGCGCATGTAGTGATACTAAAATATTAATATATTTTATATCTAGCTTAATACGTATGCATAAAACTATTCGACGACATTCATCCACAAGTTTGAGAGTTGGTTGTACGAATGGTTCCAAAAAACTTGTAAACTATCGTATGGACAACATTCGCAAACCCATCATTGTAATCGTCCACGGAGCCTCCTAGCCAATTGAAACGGTTTTGAAGTTCGAGCCGAAAGTAACCAAGAGTTTGGATCTGGGCTGATGCTGGACGGATCGTAGACCTTATCAATCGGAATCTCTTTAGCTTTATATTGAAGTTCAGTGTGCCTCTCACTGTCCGGTTTTAACCGTGTTAATCACAAAGACATCACTGAATATTTGCCTTTTTGTCATCATAGTGAAATCTATCTCATTTTTGATAGCATATTTTTAAAAAAAACCGTACCTAATTGTAATTTAAAGTTTACTACCAGTCGCCATACATAGATCACTACTTTAAAACGGCAACTTCATACATAAAGACCTATAAATACATACATTTATATTCATTAAAAATAGAGGGCATCATGATGTTTAATATGTTCGTTATGTCGAGTTTCACTACATGAATAGAAGATGAGCTCAGAAGATCGCTTGACTTAACACGTTAACAGTCCCTATACAAGCGTTCCGAAACACGCCATATGTCCAAGTGTGATTATATATTTTTTTGCCATTATTAGATGTCCACCTATCGGCTGATGCATTAAAAGTCACAAAATATGGTCGTTGACCCGGATATACCCGTGTACAGCGGGCGGTACACGGACTTATGAATTAAATTACCGGGTACCTTTAACGTGTACCACAAGCTCATGAGTGTTCCAGTAGACGTATGTATGGTTAGTTTATTACCATATCGATGGTACACTTCCGCGGCAGACTACTTTTCCGCCAATACATACCCTCAAACACATAAATATAACATGAAGATCTATAAACTATGGTCTGCAGAACACTTGGGGATACCAAATTTACAATGGTCAAAATGTGCAAGTTTTTGGTTTGGATACCTCCGGAAGCATAGTAGTAGCATTGGCAGAAGGTTTACTTGATGAAGGTCGCTGCATGATAACTGACAACTACTACACGAGCGACCCTTTGACAGAATTTATGCTTTCTTGCAATACAGACCTCTGTGGCACAGTCAATAAAAAGAGAAAAGGTTTACCGAAAGAGAAAAAAGCATTCTAGCAGCACATGAAACGTTCAAGTTCAAGTTACGCCGCTGAGAAAGACACATTTTTTGGAGTTTTTGGGCAAGAAAGAATCTCGATTCATCCGAAGACGATGCGTGGGATGCTGCCAAAACCTTCTTGATGAAGGTCGACTTGCTCCATATACACAGGCCAAAGCCAAAAGGGTATCAACGCAATGTAAAATTTGCAAAAAAGCATATTGCGTTGTTTGTTTTTCTAAACTTTTAGTTCACCAATTAAAATTTGTATCTTTTTTTCTAAGTTTTTTTATGTCGTGTTGCTATACTAAGAATTTTTAAAAAATATGACATGTTTTCGACTTTTTCCATTTATTAAATTCTTGGCCACAAGTCCACAAAGAAAACACTAACTAATTTGACAAGTCCGTGGATCTAGGCCCCGTAGAGAAACACATCGGCTCGTGTACCTCATAGGGTACACGAACTCGGCGGAACCGCTCACCGTGTACCACATACGTAACACCGGACTGTTAACGTGTTAAAGCATAACTCACATAACATACATACTTATCGTATGAATTAAATTATAGAATTTCATACGAATATTTTATTAAAATACTGAATTCGGTTCTGAGTCAGGAATGCAACATAATGGCAAAGTAAAGATTCTATTACTAATTCAAATCGTAAGTAAGCTGGCTGTTTAATTATTCTGGGAATTCAACCAGATGTCAAATTCAAAGCTGCGCTCAAGCTTTGCGTCACTGCTGCCTTGAGGCTGAGAAGGGGCATGGTGGTAAAGTCTGACCATGCCGGGTCAGGTACCACCATCATTCAATAATTACATCGGTTTATATATTAATTTATGTCATTTTTACTATATGATGTCGCGTCTTAAAAATTGGTATAGTGCCACCAACTTATCTGTGAAGTGGCTAAAACACGAACTACAGTCGCCATATTGAAATGTCATTCGACTGTCAGTGTCTACTACTTTCGAGTGTTCCGTGTGTTTTATTGCGATACTTCTGAATTTTAAGCGTTCAATATGCCGAAAGCTATAAAATGTGATGCCCGGCGTATTATTCTAAAGGTGAAATCATTTGTGGCGAGTGAGCAAGTCAACTCGCACATCTCAACGCAGCACCGAAATCATACGATTGCCGAGTGCCGTGTGCAGACTGTTAAACCACGCCCCCTGCAACATGTCGCCGGCGCATCTTATTTGTCGAAGTGGTAAAGACACAAGATGGCCACGCTTTCATCTATTGTTCTTCAGACGGAGGACATGTTGAAAGGGGCGGCAGGTCCTGCGCAAATTATTATTGACTACAAGTTATAGTTATAGTTTTGGTTTTTACTATAAATACGATTGTATCGTAATTGTGATACAGACCATCTGGAATACTTCACATTTTTTGAAGAAGAAGCTCGGCTGCAGGCTCCTATCTTTCCGCTTAATCAAATATACAAATGGATTTCGGCTGCAACAGGTTAGTGTTGTCAGCTTATAATATCAATTACCCAAAATGATAATAGATGGAGATACACACACATAAACATTTTTTCACATAATAAGATAAAATATTCTTGTACAAGAAGGTGTAGCAGCCTACAGGCCGATTTGTTATTTTAGACCTGTTTTATGAAGAGTAAAATTTCCTCAAACTCCGTCAAATACAAAAGTAGGATATCTATACTAATATTATAAAGAGGAAAGATTTGTTTGTTTGTTTGTATTGAATAGGCTTCGAAACTATTGAACCGATTTAAAAAATCCTTTCACTCTTCGGAAGCTACACTATTCCCGAGTGACATAGGCTATAATCTTTTTTGAAAAAAATTAGGGACCCTTACTAAAAATCCAATAATGTAACCCAAGGTGTAAAAAAATTACCTAGAATATTATTTAGGTACATCGCCTGCCCTGCGAAAACTATTGATGATAGAATAAAATAATGTACTACGACTTTATAGAACACATTATCATTGACAAAAAGCCTCGCGACTGCATATGTCTACCATTATAGCTATGCCGCAATAAGTGTTCTTTTATTTAAAAAAATTAAACTACGTCAAATATCGTTGACAATTTTGTTAAAGGCTCGAGCCAAGCCGGAGCGGGCCGCTTGTCAATAATATAATAATATTTATAAATCAGTTGTTAGTATTTTAAAATAGTCACTCTGTTATTGAAAACGACGCTCTATCCACAGTCACCACTCAGCTCTTACAAATACATATATGAATACAATGAATTTATTTCTACCATATTAGGGAACCGACTAAAATTCCCTTGTCCTAATCCACGCCATCTATCGGCATAATGAAGAAATGTAACGCGCCTCCTAGGGAGCGAAAAAAGAACTGAGTCGACGTTTTCGTACCGCGCGCGCATCATCGAAAAAAGTCTATTTAATTCAAAAATACTGTTTTCGCAAATTTTGCTATTCAACTTGTGCGTGTGTCCGTGTGTCTTAAACTCCAGCATCCAGAAGAGTGCCCCGGGGACAGAAGACCACAAAATATTTCAAGCAATCATTTGTGAGTACCTTCCCCTTTTTAGTCGGTTTAGTTTTCTGGGAATTTAAATTTAACTCAACAAACTGGTTTACACAACATACCACACGCGTTTAATCTCAAAACATTTGTTACAGGTGTAAGTCAAGGGCTAATTTCAAAAATTGTTAAAGAGGGCGAAGCAGCAGAAGAAACTGGTACCAAAATTCGCACACCAGGCAAGCAGAGAATACGAAAAAGTGGATTTGTTCATGTAGATGATTTTGATATGGGAGTTATCAGACGAAAAGTCCATGAATTTTATTCTGCCAAAAAGGAGATTCCTACCATAAAAAAACTTCTAGAAATATTAAAGAGAGAAATAAATTACATAGGACAGCGAGAAACTCTTCGAAAGCTACTTTACAAGTTAGGATTCCGTTTTATAAAAACTAAGTCCAATCGTAAAGTTCTAATGGAGTATAATGGCTTGGAGAGCAAGGTCCTTGCGTGAAGTGAATAAAAATAATAAAACACCCAACCAACCCCCGGCCTCTGATTTATTTAGATGAAACTTATATTCACTCTTCACATACATCTGGCAAATGTTGGCAAGGAGAGGGC